TGAAATCTTTGTTCAAATGTTTCCCATATCAGGGAGCCTTTTCTGGACCATCCTAGATCAATCCTAGATCAACCTCCCACTTCCCACTCCTTACCTTGCTTTGTTTTTCTCCATGGTACCTATCTAAAAGAATATATAAAATAACAGCAAATACTCATATAGTGCTTTCTATGCACCAGGCATTAGATTAAGCACTTTACTTGTTTAATTTAATGCTCTAACAACCCTATGAAGTAAGTACTATTACTATTCCCAATTTAGAGTTGAGCGAACTGAGAACCGAAAGGTTAAGTAACTTATTCAGGACATGGCAGAGCTGGGATTCAAACGTAATCAGAATGGCTCCCAAGTTTGTGCTTTTAACTACTAGACCACATTACCTCTTATTGTTGTCAGTCTCTCCACACCAAAAAATAAGCTGCATGAAAACAGGGACTTTTTATAGTGATATATCTCTAGCCCTTTGGCATGTAATAATAGATACTCAACAAATATTTGATGAACAAATAAAAGAGGATGCCGATATAGCCAGAAGGGAAAATGGATCCTTAAACATGTACTGCACACAAGCTGCCCTAAATTAACAATGCAAACTGAGAGCTTATCTGTTCCAGTGGTTTCCTTATCATCTATGTGATGACTCAATCACATAGTTCCAGCTAGCCAGTCCAGAATCTGGGGGTCAACCTTCTCTCATTTGCCCTCATGTCCCATATCTAATCAATCTGAATAGCTCTGTATTTGTCCTCCTCTCCACCCTCACAGCCACTGTACCTTAGATCAGGTCACCAATCTCCCATGGGTTAATGCAATAGCCTCCTAACTGGTTTCCCTACTTTCCACCTTTTGGTCTCCCTTTTTCATTCTCCACACTGCAGTCCAAGTGATCTTCTGAAAGTAAAGCCTGGTCATTTTGCTCTTTTTCTTAAAATTCTTCTATGGCTCCAGATATATCACCCTCAGAATAATTTATCAAAGCATTCAAAACCTGTTCTAATCTCACCATTTTTGCCTCTTCAACTTTATCTCCTCCTGATTTCCATCATACACTACGCCCCAGGCTTAACGGAGTACTTGAACTTCTTCAAAGTGCCATTCTCTCTCATTCTCTGCCTTTTGCACGTTTCTGTTCCTTGTGCCTAGGTCTGGCTCTCCCATCACTTGGTTAACTGCTATTTGTCTTTCAGATCTCATTTCTCCTGAACTGCCAGGGGCAGGCTTGTCATCTCTGCTATGTGGACCCATAGAACCCCAGTCTTACTTCTATCATAACACCTACATTGTAGTATAATTTGTTTGCCCGGCTCTCCCATTAAACTGTGTATGCGCTTGTGAACAGACACCATATCTATTGTGTTCAATGATATACTTCCATTATCTAGAATAGGTTCTGGCAGATACCAGGCAAATATATTATTTGGAAAATTAAATGAAGCCCCATTTAATTGGTGAAGATGTGCCTAAAGTTGTTAAACAATACAGCCCATATCCAAATTCAAGTGAGTCTAGTTCCAAAACACATGTACTTTAATGTACAGACCCTCTTTAAAAGAGGAAAGATAAAAATTCTTCTGGATCGCTGGGTTGATAAAATTATTTTATTTGTAATGTTACTTACATATGTACATATTAGATATAGTAATACTAAACAAAAGCACTACAAACATTAATTTATAATTATATAATTGTAATTTATAATTAATTATAAATTAATGCTGTGATCAGATTAGTGCTGTCATAGTGAATATGCTTATCCTATTATATACTTTTTCTCTATTTAAACTAATATTGAATTTGTTTTTACATAGTTTAGAGTATGCCATAAAATCATCTGGTCTACATTTGTATAAACCTATCATTTAAATATTAAGTATTCATCCATATTCTTCACTAGCCTGCATCATTAAATCCATACTATTTGGTACCTGTATTAATTTTAATCAAATACAAATGCAAAGTACTTTCCTTTTAAAACAATGGTCATCCATAATATCCAGAAAATACTTTATCTATTTTAGATTGTCATTTTAAAACAAATACAAGATATAAAAAATTCTCCTACAGAACTAGTTATCCCTAACAATATATGCACATGAACACAAATATCTAAGACGTATTTTATAATCTCATTTAAACAAATACACACACACATACACACACACACACACACACACACACACACACACACACACACACACA